TTGAATTGAAGACTATTCCACTTTGGTGGAAAGAGCCAGAAGGATCGAGATGGACTTGCAGGAAACTCAGAGGAGGGGCTTCCAGAAAAGAAAGATTGAGGGTAGGCCAAAACCCACTCAGTCCGCTCAGTCTAAAGTGTCTACTTGGAAGAAGCCCAAACTCAGCCATTCTGACAGTAGTGCCGCAGCTGCTACAGTATGCAGAAAGTGTGGAAGGATGCATAAGGGAGAGTGTCTCTCTACTACTAATACTTGTTAGTACTGGTTTCATCAGCCTGGACATATGGCAAAGTCTTGTCCTCTTTTGAGACAGAAATATGCTACAGAGGTAAGGACATGTAATAATACTCAGAGGACAATTAACAGACCAAAAATTGTGGAGTTTATAGCATCTGTTCCTTCTGAAGGTCAGCCTCGTCAGAATGTTCAGCCTCGAGTCTATGGATTGTCCCAACAAGAAGCTAAGGGGTTTCCTGATGTTGTTACAAATATGTAATTTAATTAATTGTAATGAAAAATATTATATGATATGAATGAACAATGACTATCATGTTTTATAATGATGTTATGAATTTTATGTGATTATGGACAATCTTAATGTGTAACAAACCAGTTAGAGTATTGTTTGATATTGGAGTGTCACACTCCTTTATTTCAGAAGGGTTTGTTAGATTTACAAATTTGCTTCCTACAATTATGTTGAAATCATTGTCAGTTCTAATGTCAAATGGGAATAAAATGAAAACTAATAGGAGTTATCATGTGGACTTGAGGATAGGTGATGAGAATTTAGAAGTAGATTTGACTGTTTTGCCATTGTGTGAATTTGATACAATCTTAAGCATGGATTGGTTATCTTGTCATTTCGTGACTATAGATTGTAATAAGAAGGAAGTTAGATTTCAAATGCCTGGGATGAAGGAATTTAAATTTCAGAGAGATAAATGGATAACTGCTACTATGATTTCATCCTTAAATTTTCAACTGTTAAGGAACGGATATGAAGGCTTCTTGGCCTATGTTAAGGAGGAAAAAGAGCTGAAAGATATTCCTGTTGTTCAGGAATATCTAGAAGTGTTTGCATATGATTTATCTGGCTTACCTCTAAGTAGAGAAATAGTATTCTCTATTGAATTGGTGATAGGAGCTGAACCTATTGCTAAAGCCTCTTATAGAATGACAATAAAAAAACTGAAGAAGTTGAAGTAATAATTGCAAGAATTGCTAGATAACGGATTCATCAGGCATAGTACCTCCCTCCCCTTGGGGTGCTCCTTTACTGTTCGTGAAGAAGGATGGAAGCTTAAGGCTCTTTATAGATTACAGAGAATTGAACAAGCTGACAATGAAGAATAAATATACTCTCCCAAGGATAGATGATTTGTTTGATCAGTTGAAAGGTGCATCAGTGTTTTCGTTTGATTTAAGGTCAGGATATCATCAACTCAGGATTTGAGAAGAAGATATAACAAAGATAACTTTCAGTACCAGATATGGGTATTATGAATTTGTGATGATGCATTTTAATCTTACAAATGCCCCTGTTGTGTTTATGGACCTCATGAATAGAATCTTTAAGTCATTTTTAGATCTATTTAAGATTGTGTTCATAGATGATATTCTGGTTTACTCCCCAGATGAAGAGATGCATGCAAATCACTTAAGAGCTGTGTTACATACATTGAGAGGAAATGAATTATATGCTAAGTTCTCCAAGTGCGAATTTTGGCCGAAGAGTGAACTTTCTAGGGTATGTGATCAGTATTGGGATGATTTCTATAAATCAACATAAGGTGCAAGCAATAGCAGATTGACCTCGACCAGCTACAGTGACAGATGTCAGGAGCTTTTTGGGTTTAGATGGATATTACATAAGGTTTGTTGAGGGGTTTTCACAGATTACTATCCAGATTGACTCAGAAAGAAGTGAAGTTTGAATGGACAGCTCAGTGTGAAGAAGCTTTTCTGAGATTAAAGCAATGTATGATGATTGCACCAGTGCTGACTATTCCTTCAGGGTTAGATGGATTTTAGCTCAATAGTGATGCCTCGCATAAAGGATTGGGTTTTGTACTGATGCAGAATAGAAGAGTCATTGCCTATGCTTCTATGCTTCTAGACAATTGAAAAATCATGAAACGAATTGTTTAACCCATGATATGGAATTAGCTGCAGTAATTTTTGCCTTAAGGATCTAGAGGCATTATTTATATGGGATAAGGTGTGAAGTTCTTACTAATCATCAGAGTTTGAAGTATATCTTCAGGTAGAGGAGATGATTATAACTCACTAAGGATTATGAGTTGGACATTAAATATCATCCGGGTAAAGCAAATGTGGTTGCAAATGCTTTGAGCAGGAAGAATTTATACAGTGCAAACTAAGTGATTACACAACAGCAGGAATTGATAAAAGGAATTGGATAAGTTAAATTTTAGTGGTTCAGCCCAATGATGTAGAAATTGTGATGTTGAATCAAATGATTATTCAATCAACATTTAAAGATAGAGTAGGAGAAGCTTTGCCATAAGATGTAAATTTTAAGAAGATATTGGATATAGTTGGTACGTGATACATTGAAGAATTTGAGCTTGATGATGAAGGATTGCTACATTACAGGGGCAGATTGTGTATTTCAGATGTTGGAGACTTAAGGAAAGAAATCATTCAAGAAGTTCATTATTCAAGTTACACCATTCATCCATGCAGTAACAAAATGTATCAAGACTTAAAGTGTTTTGGTGGCCGGGAATGAAGAAGAGTGTGGTAGAAGTAGTGGCTAAATGTACTTTTTGCCAAATGGTCATGATAGAACATCAGAAACCAGGAGGTTTATTGCAGTCCTTACCTATACTTGAATAGAATTATGAAGACATTGTTATGGATTTTGTGGTTGGTTTGCCCAAATCTAGAAGAGGATGTGATGTTTTATGGGTGATAATTGATAAGTTAACTAAGTCTGCACACTTCGTACCTATCAAACAATCTAATCCAGTTGAGAAATTGACAAGCTTGTATGGTAATGAGATTGTTAGATTACATGGAGTACCAAAGTCTATATTATCAGATCAGGATGGAAGATTCACATCCATATTGCGGAGGAAGATTCAGGAAGCTATGAGTATCTTACTCACATTTATTAAAGCTTTTCACCCTCAAATAGGTGGGCAGTAAAAAAGCCATTCATACTCTAGAAGATTTGCCCAGGTTATGTGTTTTTGGATTTTGGTGGCATGTGGGAGACATATATACCACTGATTGAGTTTGCCTATAACAACAGTTTTCAAGCAAGTATAGATATGGCTCCTTATGAAGCTTTATATGGGAGAAAGTGTAGAACTCTTTTAAGCTGGACTGAGATAAGAGAAAGTAAGATTTTTGGGGCTGATTTAGTGGATGATGCTACAAAAATGATAAGGCTGATCCGTGACAAATAGAAAACTATGCAGGATAGACAGAAGAAATACATCATAGATCAGTAGAATTTGAAGTTGGTGAATTTATATTTCTCAAGATTAGTCCAATGAAGGGTGTGAAGAGAATTTGACAAGATAGGAAAACTGAGTCCAATATATGTTGGTCCTTTTGAAATTGCAGAAAGGATTGAAAAGGTGGCATACAGGTTTATTTTGCCAAGTTATATGATGGAGTACATAATGTATTTCACATCTCTTCTTTGAGGAAGTATATTTTAAATGGAGTTCAGAAGATCAGTACTGATTCAGTGGATATACAACCGGACTTGATTTTTGTAGAAGAACTTGAGAGGACCATAGATATTAAAATTTATGTATATTATTAGGTGTATATGTTTGATGGAAATATTATAGAAATAATAAAATACATGTATTAAACTATTTTCTTATTAATATTAGAACTTCACCATACAAATTAAATAAATGCTAATTTTAATTAAAATCTATATATATAGATTTGCCTAATAATAAGGCTATATAATTAAATCATTGTCATCAAACATAGAATTAGTTGGTCAACTAAAATTTGATTATGGCTAAGAAAACTAATAAACAAATTTGATAAAAATTTTAGAACTCTGGTCATGCTCTCAAAGCTTAGGTCAAACTCGATAATAAAATAAATGAACTTGAATAAGGTATTACTCAACTTGTCTTGCTCATTTATGACCCTAATTGTTGCATACTAGTTTTTCATTTTGCGACGTGAATCTTGAAGAACTTCATAAATTTTGTTCATTAAAAAAAATCTTAGAAAATTTCAGATTTTGATTCCTTTTAAATTATATTTTGGAGTGAATTGTATATATTTTTTTAATTTAGATCAAAGAAGACTAATGTTTGAATGCTCTAAGCAGTTGTTTGATTGGTTGAAAAAGGAAAGCAATTTTGAGAAAGCAATCTATTGGAGGATTTTTTTTTTGGTTATTTATAGGTTTCGAGACAAAAAAAAAATTTCAATATTGGCTTAATAAACTCACATCCTAAATTGTATTAGTGAACTTTAGACCCCTAAGATGTTCTAAATTAACATCCATGCAAGGGCTACCTAATCAATTTTTCTTACAATCCTAGTAGTTTTGGACAAAACAACCACTGCCTTCATTTAAAACATAGCATAAAATCTAGTTGCTTTCTCTTTTAGCACTGAGGCTTTGTTTGGGACGGCTTTTTACTGTTTTTCAAAATCTAGTTGCATTCTCTTTTAGCACTGAGGTTTTGTTTGAGACGACTTTCTTGCTGTTTCTTAAAGCAGCTTTTTAATATAAAAATTAAAATTTATGTATTAAAAAATTGCTTTAAGAAACAGTAAGAAAGCTGACCCAAACGAAATCTGAATATATTTATGACCTTTTAGAGGAAGTTCTCATTAACCATAGTTATTCATGGCTCTGCCATTTCCCTTTTTACATCTTCCAAGTGGAGCTCATACTGTTAACATTCTGATAACTGTCAGTTCCATCCTTAACCATGATGAATTTCTTCTCTTAAGAATATTTTGATTTATGTTGCATTGATCCACAGGAAGAATCACATGATTACTATAAAAGACAGCAGCTGAGAGAGCTTGCAATACTGAATTCAGGATTCAGAGAAGAAAGCCCTCTTCCCAGTGGTACTGTCTCTCCATTTAATGCCAGTGGACTCAAAAGGCCAAAAACTGGACGCTAGTAAAACTATTTTGCTTCCTGCAACTATTTTCTTAGGGGATTTTCATTCATACAACATAATTCTTATATATTTACATTTATAATCTCCAAAAATTAATATTTATTTATATAACACTTCAGTGTCTTAATCACATCTAAATAAATGAATAAAAAAGTATTTTTCACTTTTAAAAAAGTTAATATTAGTGATATGATTTAAAGATTTAGGCGTTATTTAAGTAAATATTAAAATTTATGAGATAGATATGTAAATATATAAAAATTATGTGATATGTATGTAAATCCCTTTATTTTTTATTATCATATATCACCCTGAGCTCAGAATGCATTGATACAAAGGAATTCAGTACCTGAAGTAGCTGCTGATCTTGATCTGCTTGTTTGTTCTCCAGAAGATGTCAATCTATGTAACTAAGCTGACATTATTTATGCTTTTTTTTTTTTCTTGTTTTGAGAGAGAGATTTCAGGCTATAATTTGCTGTAAAACTTGGAACAATATTCATTTGATTCGTTTTTCCTTAGTTTTGTGAAGTGAATACTGTATTTGTGTATTGTAGTTTGCTTGAAATTATAAAAATTAATTATTCAAATTTCATAATGAGATTTCTTAAACTAACTACACAGAAGTGAAGCTTTTGGGCTTTTTTTTTTTTATTTTATTTTATGTGAGATGATTGTTTGCTTGGAAAGGTGCATACTTTTAATTATAATTGAAGACAAATTATTACTAATTAGCTCTAAAGCTTTATTTAATTACGGGGATCAAGAACACCCCTATTAATTAATTATGGATGTAGGCCAGCTCACCTTAACTTTAATTATGGATTTGCAAAAAAAAAAAAAAAAAAAAAAAATATTGTTTGAGAGCTTAGACTTTGTTTGAGATTCATATATGCGGTGTGTGTGAGTTTATGATTTAGGGTCTGTTTGAGATCATTTTTTTACTGCTTTACTTTTCAAATTATAGTCACAGTTTATGTTTGACTATTATTTTTTATTAAATTGTGTTATGAAGTTATTTTTTATAGTAATTAAAAAAAATATTTTTCTCATAATAATTTTACAATTATTTTTATAAAAAGTTGGAGTTGTTCCAAATAGACTTCTAGATTTTATTTGAGACAGTTTTTTTATTGCTTTTAAAGTAAATTTTTAGTATAATTTTGTTTAAATATAATAACACATGACTAATGTCATTTAATTAGGTCTAATAGAACTATTCTTGTAACTAGCAAGCGGATGCTTGCTTAAGGGTTTCCAGTCTTAAACATAAGAGGTCAGATAGGTCGACTATCCCTCTTATTTAGTTTGAAACATGTTTTTTATATGTCTTATGTTTGGTTTGGGATAATTTTCTTCTTACTTTAGATAACAGCTTTCTAGTATAAAATTTTTTAAAAGCAGTGAAAAAATAGTGGCTAAAAGATGTCCCAGATGTAACCTTAATGTAATATATGTTAATTGATAATTCATCAGAAAATTAAGTCGGACAAGTATGAGTTTTTGTGTAGCATTGAATAGGAAATTTTATGAAATAAATTTCAGACCATTTGAATTTTGAATTTAGCAAACTTACAATCAAATTGAACTACTCAATGAACCAAAAATGATTTGATCTAAATCAAAATGAGCCCAAATTAGACTCCGGAAGCGTAGGCAAAAACTTTGTGACATTGATTGAGGGATCAAGTGGTCTTCTGATCTTCTATGCTTACAGTCAAGATGAGCAACACATCAAGAGAAATCCAATATACCTAAGATAATTCAATTTTGAAATATTTAATTCATTTAAATGTTGAATGAATAGTTTATGATTAACAAAATTAATTGGGTCGTCCAATGAGGTGTTTTGAGATTTTTGATAAATTTAACAAAACACGTTACTTCAAAAAAATTATAAATAGATCCCCATTCTCCATATGAAGGGAAACTTAAAGTTAAACATGGACTTACAATTGGAGAGAGCTCTGCCAGATATTCAACATCAAAGATTGTTGTAAACAATAATAGTTACTTAACCACTATCACTCAGCCACCATTGTCCAACTACAATCTCTTGACTATTGCCATCTGATTATGATTTCATGATCATCAGTTTCTTACTATTATTATTGGATCATGATCTCTTAACAACCATTGCTTGACTATAGTTTTCAAGCATGTCTTACTTCCTTCACTTAATTACCGCCTCTCGCTAACTTAATTGCCAACAACATTGATATATGACATTTCTATGAGGCTAATGCTTTTTGTTAACCTCAATGCAAACACTCACTAATTTAGCTTCCCATCATTACCAGCAATATTAATGCAGTCTATTGGTTATAAGTTCTATGCACACCATTGCCTATAATGTTGATGCATGACATCGATGCAAACCTTCGCTTTTAAATCTAATCCATGCATTGGCTATAGGGCTAATACACATTGTCAACATCAAGAATGATGCATATCAACTGTCTCCGATCATTGCTCACGACATTGATGCAAGAAATTAGCAATAAGGTTGAAGTTCATTATCAACATGAACTCCAATTCTGAATGTGAACACCAAGATTATACTAAATTTTCAGGTCTTTCGTCTCCTCAAAGGACAATGACTAAACAAACTATTAATGATCTCTTGAATATAATTCTAATGACTCAAGTTTCTTATATATTTCACCATGGAATCCATGCGCCTTAGTTCACATTTATTAAATTTTACCAAAGCCTTTCCTAATTACAAGAAGGGGGATCATTTGTAGCTAATAATATACACTAGAGAAATCATTTTAATAAGCATAAACCTTCCTCTTTGTGTTTCCAATGTAAAAGTTGTGTCTCTTATAGCTTTCTTTTATTTGTATGTATGCTAGATCTTTGCACAAAGTTAAGATGTTAATATCTCTCTTTCTCTCTCTCTACTACCATAAATAGCATAACACATAACAATTTGATGCTATATGTGAGAAATATTCCCATCATGCTACAAACACTTCATCAATGATTAACAAGCAATTCCTCAATCAATGAACACGTATTTTAACTTGTGAAGAAGGCCATCTAAGCTCAACTTTAGAGGATAACATGCACAGGATGGAGGAGTGTCATAATCAATATATGAAGTTCCTCCTCCATCATAGCCTCATTAGGATTTTTTTTTTACTTAACCATGTGTTACTCAACCATCTTTTAATATTCTAATAATCTTGGTGGACATGAATCAACTTTGCCTTACTGGTGCAATTTCTCGTGCTATAAAAGATGAACATGATGCTATATCTGGGAGGAACTTTCTTTAAGAGATATGGATCAACTAACTCCTCACTGTAATTTTAAGGAGTCTTTGCCCTAAATGATGCAATTATTTTGCATTCCATTCAAGGTTATCATGCAAATGCAATAGAACTAAAAGAAGAATCAAGATATATCTCATGTAAGTAACTTGAGATCTTTTATTTTTTTAACATAGCATTTTACATTTTTATTTAGAAATATCTTGTGAAGGCATGTGGTAAATATGGACTCAAATCTAAACCCCTAGAAGACACACCTATAAGGGATTCTAAAATAGAAGTTTGTAATGAGCTGGATCCTTACTAGAAATACTTTATTAGAGCAAGTAATTGACATAATCTCTACTCATTAAAAAACCTCTTAAGGTTAAAACCTCATAATGTACATGTTATTCAAAACAATTAGGAGGCATGAGCCTCATAAGGTGTGAGATCGCTTAAAAATCTTAAAAGACATAAGTCTTAGAAATTACATGTTATGAAAAAATCACAAATGATATGTCTTGAAAGGTGTTAGTTCTCTAAAAATCTTAGAAGGCATTATGCTCGTAATTAAGTTATACATTGCTCATATTATTACAAAATCTCAAAAGGTATAAGCCTCAGAAGTTATAGGTTTCTTTATCTATCCATAAATCCTAGAAGCAAAAAGTCTTATAAGTTACATGTTTTTTAATTGTCTATAAACCTCAAAAGGTATATATATTCTTTATTCATATGAAGAATATCTACAAACATTTATTACTAATTTCCTACTTATTCAAAATTTTCAAATTGGCGTAAGTTTGAAAGATGTAGATCTTTAATTCCTACAAAATCTAAAAAGGTATAAGCCTTAAAGTAGACACAATATTCATTCATCCAAAGATAACTGTGATAGAAATTGATTTATATTACCTAAAGAGTACATAGTGTATCCCAACATCTTTATTAAATAGGATCAATGTCACTGTTTCCTAACAAAAGCTTAACAGTTTTCTTTTATTAATTACTCAAATATTCAACTATACCATAATATAATTTTAATAAAACTTGAAAATTTTCAAGTACATGTCACAAAAATATAAAGGACTAACACTTATATTATCACAACTCCACCCGACAAGACCCACTGATGGAACAATTCATATTATGTTGGCTTGTGATATGCTATTCATAAGATCTAGTTCTGAAACACTTTCAATTTTTTTCTTCCGATATAAATATTAAAGCAAACAACAAAGTGTAGAGCTAATAAAACATCCAAAGTGTTGAAATAAAAATAACTCATCCATCTCTTTTATTTCATCAGTAAATAAAAGCTATGGAACAAAGTAATAAACTAACTATGATTGTGTAAAAATCAATAGAAGATATATATGTAATCTTATTTCAGATCATGAACTGCTAATCAGCATGCTCCTTCACTTTCCTAGATCTTGAAAATAGAATACAAAGTTATAATGACCTAAATTAACTTAGCAGGCCATAAATACTGATCTAAAATTTTAAATATATTTTTATTAAATACTTTATAGATTATTTAAATGCAGTATAAAAAATCACTGTACTAAACAAAATAATATGAGTATAGTAGTTATCCAAAGATTCAAGTAATAATATTGAGCTGTCAAATAAACTAAAATTCATATCACAGAATAAAATATAACATATTTCTTTTGTCTCAGATAGAATCTCAAAGGATTCTGGCCTTTTAGGACTCCTACTGTGCTTATAGCACCATAGCATGCTCTTAAGCACCAAAACATGACATTTTGCTATCATAGCATGCCTTATAAGCACCATAACATAGCATTTTAGCCACCAGAATGTTTTGCTTCTTTAACAACAATTTCTCCATTCAACCAATGAAACACATAATTCAATCACATAAATACATATTTCATCACATTACAACAATTAAAGCATAATTGAACTCATATCAGAATTGCACAGTTTTCTATAATAGCAGGCAATAGAAATTCCTACCGAGTAAAAATTCATAATTTTAAAATACAACTAAATTATTAAAGATTATATAAAATATTATTTTAATATTTTAATCATACTACAATACTATTTTTTAGAGTCCAAATTATTTTTTCTTCAATAAAAACTATATAATTTATAACACCCATGGTATAAAATTTCTAGAAAAGATTACAAATGTTCAAAATCTCAATCTTTATAACATATAAAAAGTTATGCGGTGAAAGTTTCAAAATTGTCCTTATTTTTAGTAACAAAAATATAAATTTAATTAGAAAATTCGAGAAATCTTCAGATTTTTGAAAACTGAGATAAACATAATGTAACATACCTCTATCTGAATA